ACATTTCCCAGTCTCCCTTGCAGATTGTCCCATACCATGTGACTGAGTTTAAGTAATGAGTTTGTGAGTGGGAATGATGAGTCACTTTGAGTCCAAGGCAGGAGGATGTAGGTATGGCTTTTCTAGATTCTCTCCTCTTGGCACTGTGGCTGGAAGTGAAGGACTCCAGTTCTTCAGTAGCCCAAATCCTTGCATCACTCTTTGAAATTCAGACAATGTACACTGGACTGTGATTTGAGCAAGAAATAAATATTTGTTGCATTAGGCCACTGATATTTAGAGCTTTTCTGTTAGCAACAGTCAGTGTCATTTATGATAAATAATACAACCTCATAAAAGTTGTTTTGAAGCAAATAACATTCCTCCACATAATCACTGAAATGTCTATTTATTAATAAGTGGTGCAGTATTTATTTAAGATAGAACATAAAAAATCAGGTAAGAATTATTTGCATAATATATATGGAAATCAACCTATTAAAGTTGTTCAAATATTGGACAGAGCCAGAATATAAATTACACATACAGTTTAAAAATTACAGGAAATCATATTATAAAGAGCACTAAAGGCCACTTGTGGAATAGTTGTGTTCCCCTGTAAGCCAGAATGTGAACAAAGCCTACTCGTAGCACAGAGACAAACCCAGGGAGCAAGGCACCAGAATTCTATGCCATAAAAAGGGGTTAAAAAATACAATCCAAAATCAAATATAATGGATTCATGTCACTGGGAACCACAATTTGTTCTTCAAAGACTGGTGTTTTCCATCACTGCTACATTAGAAAAAGGAGGAAAAAAAATAGCCATATCCTATCTGAAGCAAGGCAGAGATCATTTTTCTCTTTAAAACAAGGAAGGACTGACAAATCTGATGAAGTCCACCTGTCTTTCTAAGATGATTTTTCAGGATGGGACAGAGCCGACCTCCCCTCTCTGACAGCGAATCTCTGATCCTTGGCAAAATGGCTGCCCCAAATCTTGCAACGCGGCCACCACCTGGACTCTTAACCCTCAGGGGAACTGTGGGAGTGGGAACTGCCGCCTCCTTGGAAAAGGATTCAGAGGGGTATAGAAGGGCCCAATTACCAGATCAGGCTGGCTTCCATGGGAAACCTTGATCTTTTAATACTGAGAAAGAGAGACACAACTGTTCTGAGCTTTTGGCCTCCCAGAGAATGCTCTTAAAGACTCACCTGTTTCTGCAGAATTTCAGAGCTCAGAAATAAAGGTACAGTCTAGAGACAAAAGACCAGAGTCAGCAGAGATGTAGAGATATTTGAACTTGTTTGGTTAAAAACAATGACAGGAGCTCCTTGGGGGCAGAGAACAAGGGGCGCTTGTGGATGATCTGCAGCCACACCAAGCCCCGAGAACTAATGGATGCCAATGTGAACCAGGTGAATAATTTATGCGGTATTATTTTCTGCCACTGACAGCTGGATTGTAAAGCCACTCAAAGGACCTGCTGAACAGCCAAGAGAACAGCTGACCCAGGCATCACTCTACTCTCCAGGGAACTCATGGGTCTGTGATCATTTTACTGTAAAGCTGAGTGGACGTAGAAGGCCGAAGCATTGTGGAGGAGCTAGGGCCTGATTTGAGGGGAAGAAGTGGGAAGGAGAAGGAGCTTTCCAGGTACACGGGCTTTGGTTAAATATGCAGCTCTACTTCTTACAATGTGTGACCTTTGACAAGGTCTTTTCTTCAGTTTCCTCATCTATAAGATGGAGACAATAACATCTCCCTCATGGGGTTCCGATGAGGATTGCATGAACTTGAGAGAGAGCTATCATGTCACAGGCAACTCATAAGGAGCGCTTAGGATAGGTTTCTCTCCCTTTCCCTGACCTCACTTTTGTGGGCAGACGAAGAGAAGGGAACATTAAAATAAAATATGCTCTCTTTTTTTTATTACTCTTAGGTATCAAATTGCCGTCCATTTGATAAGTCTAAGAGGAATTACAAATACATTCCTGAGCACTGAGCTGGGCTTCTGACTACCTCATTGTAAGCCATTCTCAGGTTATTCGTATATACAGCCCATTATTGGCTGTGTCAGAAAATATCATTATTTCCCTTGAAGCGTATTTTAAGCCCATAACAGTGCTATCTGGAGGATGAAGGCTTAGGTAGAATGACAAACTTTAAAATTACTGGGCAAACTATGGTTGTCCTAGAACTTGACCATCCTTCTTTCTGAATATTTCTTAGGAGCTTTCACTTCAGCCTGACTCAGGAGAACTGAAACATCTTACCACAGGGATTCACAAGGACTGCTGGGGAGCCCTGCCAAATTCTGGCAGATTTATCCCGAGAACAATGTAAGTGGAAAGTAACAATGAAGATGCTCATTTGAGTCAACAGAGGCCTGTTTACTTCCTAAAATAATCTCCTAGTTACATAACCATGTCCTAAGTTGAGTCCTGTTTGCTTCTTTGTAGCTTTTGGTGAAGGCCCTAGAGTATCTGCTTGTGGCCTGACAACATGGGGATTCCCTGGGACAAGGCAAGAGGACCCAAGCTGTGTTCAAATGAGACCCAGAGATCGCAGTGCAAAGGGACACCTTTGGTAAAACTGGCCACTTTGGGTCATATAGATCCCAAAAGAAATCATGCCCAACCTCCTGAAATCAAAACCATAGGGATTTATCAAGGAGAAACCCTGTTTAATTGGTCTATAAATGAGGATACAACCTAAGGCATGACTGGAGCTGAATGAGTCCAAGTGATGGGCTAAAAAGGTAAACCAGTCCAAACATGGCAGGACCAAGAAGGAACAAGGTAGGAGAGGGCAGAGAGATGGAGGGCAGAGAGGTGGAGGGTAGGAATGCCTGCATGGCAGTGGGATTGTTCTTCTTCATTCCCTTTCTCAACTGCACCCTGCATCAGTGGTTTTTGCTAGACCTTTTGAAGACAGCAGGAATCTGGAAGAAGGAACATCATCATCTTTCACAGCATGGAAACATCAATCTTATTCCAGAGAAGGGAAGAAGTCCCCAAAGGCATGTCTGGTTTAACAGTTTCTCAAGTGGGCCAGGAAGTTCTTATTCATGTTCTGGGCTCAATAGTGATGCTTTGATTTCACTTGCTATTTTACTTTTAGTTTTGTCTCTAACATCTGGAGCAAGGATCTGAAGACCTGAGTTCCAGATTTATTCTGTGACTCAATCACTTCTTCAATCACTGAGGGATGTGGTGTGATGGTCTTTGCTCTGAGCTTCTGCTTCTTTTTTTTTCTTTTTTTCTTTTTTTTTTTTTGAGACGGAGTCTCGCTCTGTCGCCCAGGCTGGAGTGCAGTGGCGCAATCTCGGCTCACTGCAAGCTCCGCCTCCCGGGTTCACGCCATTCTCCTGCCTCAGCCTCCCGAGTAGCTGGGACTACAGGCGCCCGCCACTGCGCCCAGCTAATTTTTTCTATTTTTAGTAGAGACGGGGTTTCACCATGGTCTCGATCTCCTGACCTTGTGATCCGCCCGCCTCGGCCTCCCAAAGTGCTGGGATTACAGGCGTGAGCCACCGCGCCCGGCCGAGCTTCTGCTTCTTGATCTAAAAAGACAGGTGGTTGTTCTGGGTGATTAAAAGCTCTTCTTGCTCTGTGTATCTTCGAATCCATGAAATTACGTCTCCTTGCATCTATGATAACACATCAAAATACGAATCACAATTTTCTTACAGGGTTGCTGAGGTTAAAGCTGTGAAAGCCTGGGAACAAATCTCCCCAGGGAGGGTTTAAGCAAGCATTAACTCTTTATTCTGCAAGTTCCCCCATTCATTGCTAGGGTGTTGCCTGATAGCCACCATGCACAGTTGACTTTCCTTGGGAAATCATGAGTCTTTTATTCTTGCTATTTGACTTTATCTCCTACACATCATCCAGATGGCGCAACTTCTGGTACTATACATCCAATGGAATTGCCACAACTCAGCCACTGAGATCCAACATTCCTGCCTCTCTTCATTCCAATATTCCTTCTCTTCCTTATTGTGGTCGACAAGAGTAAGCATTTTTATTTGCAGAGATGTACTTACTTAAAAAGCAATCGTAAAAGCATTTGATTTAATAATTAGGATTGTATCTCCACCATTCATTTTTCTGAAAAAAAAATTTTTGGTGTAAATTTAAAGTTCATAAGTAACACCAAAGACTGAGACAATGAAGTCCATGCATACTGTAAAAAAATAACATAAATAACAGTCCCTAGTATGCATCAGTCATTGTACTAGGGGCTTTGTGTGTACATTGATTGTCTCATTTGAAAATCAAAACATGGCAGAAGAGTCAAATGCTTTTGAATGTGCTGAAACTCAAATTTTCTTCAAGGTCATCTCTGTATGCTTCCTGTCTCTTCTACACTGCCATTATTGGCTTCTAAAATCACTAAAGCTAGGCAGATAGCCTGGTCCTAACACGTTCTAAACTGGGCATTGGTGAGGGGCTGCCTGCTGACTTGTTTAGGGGCCAGATGGCACAGTTTGGGATGGTATAATATCAGCAACAATAGCATTGGGTTGATTTGAATATAAACAACTTAGACTTAAAAAGTTCATCCTGAAAAACAAGCCTTCAAGGACAAGTGAGGACATGAAGCAAATTCCTAAGGATGCCTGGGGTTCAGGAAGCAAAGAAGAATCTTTGGTTATTCATGAAAACCAAATACCAGCTATGTGGCATCTTCTGGGGAAGCGCAGGGGTGGGGGAATCCTGGGGTGTGTTTGGCAGCACTGTCCAAAGTACAGTTGACTTCTTAGGCTGCTGAACAAACTTCTTCTCTTGCCCCAGGAGAATTTGATCTGCAGGTTCCCACAAGTAGAGTAACATCTTTCTCTTGAAACAGGTGCTGTGTCATAGTCTGTATCATAAGCTTCTCTTGGTCAACATGATGAAATGAAAGTAGCTCAGCTCCTTGCCTGATCTCAATCTTAGTAGGGATTAGGAGAGAAAAAGAAAGCTGGTTTCTCCAACAATCTTCCTCAGATTCCCTAGAATCCCCCTTTTTTGCACAGTGTCTCTGGAGCTACGAAATTCAAAGCATTGAATCCGAACTCGAAGTCCCCATTCAACCCACTCAGTCTTGATTGGGTTGACTGGATCATTGCCATTTTGATGTAGAATCTTTGCTCTCATTTTCATGTTCAATTTCCTATAGTTTCCAAGCTAGGAAACTTTTCTGTCTGTATAGAGTTGTTTGCAGGGATGAAATCAGGTATTTTATTTTCCTGGTAGACATAGTCTGAAGGGACCTCTGATATTTGAGACCTCTAGATTACTAGCATTTTGATGGCAGAAACTGTGGTTTTCTTATCTCTGAATTTTCAGTGCACTGCACAGTTCTGGGCATATACTGGTGCTTAATAAACCTTGTTAAATGAATAAACAAATGACTTTTTCTTTATTACACTCCCATTACAGTAGCATGGAATTATGAGACTGATTTTGTCAAATGATGAGTAGGTCCAGTTATATTAGGTTTTTCTGCAGGAAATTATTCTTTTAAATTAGTGTCTAGGAATTACCTTGCACAAAATAGACACAGGATGCATAATTGTTGATTAATTAGTTCATTTTAACCTATACACCTTGGGGTTATCTAGTTATGTTTTCGTGAAAACTAGGGCTTTGTAATATCAATGTCATGTCTAATAAGCCTAAACTCCCAGTTCTAAAAACAAAGTTATTCAATAGTACTTTCTCAATTTGATGTGTTTTTCTTTTCCTGCAATATTTTTTTTTCTTAAACTTTTGATATTTGCTTTTGTGCTGATACTTGATAGTCAAAACTCACTTGATCTCAAGTACTTTTCTCAGCCCAATAGGATCATGTTTCCCCTAACATTTATGAAGTTGATTTATCTCGTTCATTTTGATCTTGCTAAAATATGACATTTACAATTTTTCATGTCACACTGTGACCCAAAAAGACCAAATACATACATAAGATTATAGTTCTACCTGATCATATCATTCCTAGTTTTGATGATGGAATTATTTTGTTAACATTTCATGGAGTTCTGCTGAAATGATTGCAATTTCTTGGGCAAGTTTCAGAACGACTAGCATATCTGCGGTCATGTAATCCTGGGTCATGTTATTAACCAGTTCCATTGGATCATCATGCTGTTCCTTTGTCTGACAAAAGGATCTTTGTGAAAGCACACACTGTTTCTTCCCATCACTCACATTGAATTCCAGACCCTGAATTTCTGCTTGCTCACTGTGAGCCATGTTGCTGAGATTGTCTATGCATAGGCAACTTGAGCAGGTTTGGTTTGCCTTTCTGGAATGTATTTTTTGGGGAATAAAAGGAGAATATCAAAGCAGAGTTATTCCAGAAGATCATTTTTCTCTTTTCCTTTTTGTTTTCTTAAATGGGAAAAAACAGTTCTTAAGGTTCTTATTATTTATTCATTCATAAAACACGTATTTTGTCTATGTCTATGCTGATAAAGACAACTTACTAGATGTTAGACTATCAATACTTCCCTACTACTGATCAATACAAACCCAATCTCTGCTGTCCTGGTCTTATGTTCCAGCAAGGAAGCTAGACTGCCTGCCTATGGTTTAAGAAATAATACAAGCTCCAGTTCTTTCTAGGTTATTAAAAGAACCTAAGGTAGTTCCTCCAATTTTGGATCAATGGTAAGTACTTTAAGCTAGAACTCCATTGAGTTGCTGGAAAGTGCATCTATTTGTAAAATACTTAAGATAGTAAGTTCTTCAAGACTATTAATAAGTTAAAAAATTCATTGGTGCATATGTGGAGAGTGTGACTCACTCTCCTTTTTTGTTGGTTTCCAGTAACTCGCGTACATAAAGAAGGGCATAGTAACATGCTGGATGTCAGGCAGGTGATCATCTCAAGTGAAAGATTCCAGGAAGATCAGGATTCAACAATCACGCCCTCAGGAAGGGGCATAGGGTTTCTTAGGTTGTAATCCCCAGTGGCACTTTCAGGCATATTGAAGGAGTGGGGGAAAGGCCCAAATCACCCATGCCCTTTGTCCTTCAGACTGCCAGCATGTCAAATGGAAACCCATAGGGGACAGGCTTCATGTCTGATGCACTGAGAATTCTGGTGTATTTTCTATCTCAGACTTCAAGGTCTACACCCATCGATTTGTGGGGTTCTCAGTGAAAAACACCCTTCTGCCACTCACAATGTCTGCCCTTGTCCTGGGACTTAGGGCTTTGGCTGTAAGTTCCTAAAGTCAGGGGTCAAGCTCTAATCACTACTGTATTCTGAGCTTTTTGTACAGTACCTGTTGACATGTGAGTTGAAAGGAACCTATCTCTGAGGAAGTGACTCCTCTCTCCAACATAGTGCCAGACTCTTGTATTAGGAAATGATGAAACCATCAACCAAATGTCTGCCATAGCTACTGTGGCTCTTGACAAGACTGTGAGGGAGAATAGCAGTGTCAGCTGCATACAGACATTTGTTTAGGTCATCTGAATTATCTTGATTGTCACCATGGCAACTATCCACAACCAGTGTCTAGGTGTGTGAGAAGACTGATTCAATAATACTGTGGTGTGGTCATTTAGCTAATTCATTCTAAGCCTAACAGAAACCTTTTCCATCAAAGTTTTTCAGAGCATAACAACATCTCACAAGAGGCCAGAGGATGGCTTGTGCTTAATATCACACCTGTAGAGTAGGGCACTGCTTCCCAGGCTGTCTGCTTACATTTTAGCTTGTCTTGTGGTTACATGTGGTTTTAGTACTTTCATTTAAAAAATCGGCGCTGGTTCCATACATTTGGAAAAGTAAAATTGGATGGTTCTGGCAATGTTGCCTGGTTGCACATCAGTAAATGTAGCTTGCTTGTATTATTTTTTTTCTAGATCTAAAATGCAATGCATCAAGCAAGCATGTTTAGCAATAAAAGTGGGAATCCCCCTCCTGCTGGATAAACTGAGTGCTTTCCACACGACACAAAGTCATATATCTTGACACAATCTCTAGGATGCATTATATAAATGGAAGAGTGGTGTGGTGAGGGAAATAAGGGCAGGGAGAGAGTGAGCAGACCTGACTTTTGAGTCCTGGTTCTCTATGGGACAACTGAATGAATCTGGGTGTGTCACTTTACCTCAGCCTAAGATTCTTCATTTATAACATGGACTAAATAATTTCTGTGTGCCTTCTAGACTTTAATTTCTATTTCAGATGGATATTTTGTACTTCAGTATCATAGGGACAAATGGGAGTTGAAACTTCATTTTAAAGGCACTGAACTTAGCTCCTGCCCAGAAGGGCACTTCACTTCGGATAAATTCCATTGTCCTCAGCTACATAAATTGGAAACTATTTTAACTGTGTGTGTGTGTGTTTCTCCCTGCTAATTCATAACTCGTCAGAAATGCTACTCTTGGGATTACCACTACTTTTTACAGATAAGGAAACTGAGGCATGATACTAAATAACATCAGACCAAGTGAGGTCTTTTTGAGAGCTTTTAAAAGGTTTTGCCACTTTTCTCTTAAATATTTGTTTAAATTCTTTGTTTTAGAGACACAATGACTATCTCATTCCTTTCCTAATGTTAGCTCAGTAGGCAGCCCCACTGATACACCATGCGGTTTTGTTGAGAAAATTATTTTCTGCTTTCAAAAACAGCTGATTGCTGGAGTGTTTTACACAAGAGGGCAGTGATCCTAGAAATAACTTAAACTACTTTCTCTGCTTACCAAACCAAAACCCAAACCAGCCAACCAAACAGACAAATAGCATGGCTCATCAGTAATTTCTCCCTGTACCGGTCCAATCGTGATTAAAAGTAAGAACAGCAGATAAATGTGTATCCTAGAAGAGATTAGCGGAACCATTTATATAGTGTAAGGTCATGCAAACCATGCTGAAAAGGAAGCACTTTGTTGTGGTGACATGGGGAGGAAGAGGCTGTGGGAAGCCCCTGTCTGGGTGGGGCCACCACACACACGCATGCATTTGATGCAGCCATTGGTGTCCCCGCTGGTAAGCGCTGGGTGTGAGAGTAAGTGAACTATACAAAGTCTGTCTACATTACAAGGAGGGGTCAGCCAGTGACCTCTTTCAAATGGGCTTGTTGGAAGGGGTCCATACTGAATCAGAAATCCCATCCCCTGTGGACGACAGAGGCATGGATCCGCTGGGCGTGAAGGGGTCCGTGTCTGTGTCCGTCTCACCCTCGGCGAGGTACCGCTTCTCCCTCATCCAGCTCGACCCCCCATTGGGGCCAAACACATAATCATCTCTGTCCTGGGAGATGCTGAAGCCACTCGGAGACCTCTCCAGCTCCTCGTGGTTGACCGACATCAGGGACAGAGGTGTGTCGCTGTCCCGCGTGATGCTACGTCTCTGCTGGGGGGAGATTCGGTCAGAATAAGGGCCCTGCAGGTCAGCCTGGGAGTGGCAGCTCACTCGGGAGTCGAGAAGAGTCAGGATAGGAAGAACCGTGGGCCTCTCTGCATACGTTGTTGCCGAGGAAGGAGGAGCTGCCTGAACCTTTCCAGTACTGGGTCCCCCTCGGGGCAGGTTCACAGGGTCATGTGCAAAAAACCCATAGGGGCTGACTTTGTCAATGGGCACCTGGTGGAAGCTGTAGGGCGGTTCCGGGGGGCCTGTCTCAGAATAGTTGCAGATGATGGTTTTCAAATCAGAATACCTGTTGTCCTCTTTCTTCTCTGCCTCAGCTGGCGAGGAAGTGCCCTTGGTTGGGTAATACTCCGTGACCTGCACCTGCAACCGTTCCATATGTTGCATGTGCATATCCACGAGGAAGTCCAGCTTCTTCCCCATGTCCTGAACCTGGAAAATCAAAGGATCTGTGAGTTACCACTTTCTCTGAGGGTGGGGATCATTGCTGTTGGTTAGGAGGAAATATTCTTTTTTTTTTTTTTTTTAAGGTGGAGTCTCAGTCTGTTGCCCAGGCTGGAGTGCAGCGGCACAATCTTGGCTCACTGCAACCTCCATATCCCGGGTTCACGCAATTTTCTGCCTCAGCCTCCCAAGAAGCTGGGATTACAGGCGCCCGCCACCATGCCAGGCTAATTATTGTATTATTGGTAGAGATAGGGTTTCACCATCTTGGCTAGGCTGGTCTTGAACTGACCTCGTGATCCACCCGCCTTGGGCTCTCAAAGTGCTGGGATTACAGGCATGAGCCACCGTGCCTGGCCAGGAGGAAATATTCTAATACTGTATTTACCTTTCAGAAGGGAACAGAATTCTTGCAACTCTTAATAAGAAGAGCAGCTAATAATTTATTTTGTGCCTCCTACTTGCAAGCATTGCATACCATGTATTAGTGCTAATCTAGAGAAAACCTAGGCAAGGGCTTTCTAGGAAGCAAAGGTGGAAAGCAGAGAGATGCTTTGAAGTGTTACAGGCCTGCTGTGTCCCTTAGAGGAAGTGGCCTTCCTAACGTTGCCTGGGTCAAGGAGCAAGAGTTCTCAATTTATGAACATTTCCTTAGACAGAAGCATGTGGATTGTTAGTCTATGTTTCTCCTACATGGTGATTTAAGCCCTAAAAATACAAGGGCAGTGGTTAGCAAGAACTGAGCTTCTCAGAACTGAAGACCCTACCTAGCGGCTTGCTCTTGCCTGCCTAAATTGTGAATGAATATACGTGAGTGCATAGACGTGTGATGTTCTTGCTTTGACAATTCACGACTCACCAGGAAACGCTGTCGTCAGGTGTGTCATCTCATTTTACAGGTAAGGATACGAGCACCGTGATCAGCAGATGCTAGGATGGCATCTGAGTCTCAATAATAACTGACCCTTTTAGAAAAGTTACGATTTGACTCTGTCTTATGCGCTTTATTGACTCATGTGAATTTTACGACAGTCCTCCAAGATAGATACTATTATTATCTCTATTTCACAGGCAAGAGAACAGAGACACAGAGAAATCATGTACAGTAGAAATTATAAATTTTTAAATGAAAACAAAATTATTGACTTAACAAAAAGGAATAATTCAGATTTGCTCCTACCTCTCCTGCACGGGTCCCATTTAGGATTTTGAATAAAACAAAAGGATTAATATGATCCTTGAAAAACTGGCAGTATCATTTATCTAACGTAGAGTTAGGCAGATGATGCTAGATTCTGAGATCTTTGCTATGAAAGCAAGAGTGAGCCGCATGGTGCTGTGAAGTGAGCGGGTTTCCCGTTTCACCTTGAACGGATCTCACCTGTAGCCTGCCCTCCTCCTGGCCTCTTTAAACAGACCACCCACTGGCCTGGACGTTGAGAAAAGGGGGACACACAACATGCAGGGGCAGGTCACTAACATTTCCTAAGGGGTCACCATGAAATGCATGATAACTGTAGCTATCATCAAGTGTTCACTGTGTGCCCGCTAATATTATGGATAATTTTCATGTATCAACTCAATCCTCACAGCAACCTAATAGGGTATTATAATCCCCATACTACAGATGAGGAAAACTGAGGCTCAGAACAATTAATTAACTTGCATGCGATCACTCAGTAAATGCTGAATCAGTGATTTAATTTCCACATCTTTTTTGAATGGTAGGTAGTACTACTCAAGTGTCTTATTTCCCTTTGGAAAACAATGGTGGAGACCGGGCACAGTGGCTCATACCTGTAATCCCAGCACTTTGGGAGGCCGAGGCGGGCAGATTACCTGAGGTCAGGAGTTTAAGACCAGCCTGGCCAACATGGCGAAACCCCATCTCTACTAAAAATAACAAAAATTAGCTGGGCTTGGTGGCGGGCACCTGTAATCTCAGCTCCTCAGCAGGCTGAGGCAGGAGAATCGCTTGAACCCAGGAGACAGAGGTTGCAGTGAGTCAAGATCAGGCTATTGCACTCCAGCCTGGGCAACAGAGTGAAACTTCATTTAAAAAAAAAAAAAAAAAAAAAAAAAAGAGAAAGGAAGGAAGGAAGGAAGGAAGGAAGGAAGGAAGGAAGGAAGGAAAGAAAGAAGGAAGGAAGGAAGGGCGGGCATTTGAAAATAAATTTTACAGATCTGGTTTTTGGTGAGATGAAGAAAAGACTTACCTGTCTTTCAACTTTTACAAACTTCCCCATCATGCTTTGGTCTTCAATTTCTGATGTGGATGGTCTGGCTACATATGGTTCATTCCTAAGAAGAAGCGAACACTTCTGTAAGATCATTATACCTATTTTTGCTATGCAACGTCATTTTGGCTAGGCAGGCCATGGCCAACAGAGCCATTGCTCCCACCCTCACACTTGTGTGGCATAAAAGAGCACCATTCAACTCTGGAGGCATATGTGAGTCAGGGAAAGTCAGAGTTTTTCTGCATTCAACACTGGCATCTCATGTTTACCTCTGCTGTAGGAAAATTTGAAGCTAAATATCAAGCTGCTATTAAGGAGGCTTTGCTTTGTGTTAAGGATTATAAAGCACCTAACAGTACCTAGAGTATCTACTTCCTTTAAATTAAATTCCTTAGCCTTTCAGCCTTAGATTTGAGATCTGAGACTTTTACTCTGAGTGTGTGTGTGCAGGTGGAGATGGAGTCATCTAATGCCTGAAATTACTTACAGTGAGCATAAATATTTCATCTGGCCAATTTTAATAAGAATGAAAAATCTCAAATCTTGAACATGATGCAAAAGATGACACTGGTGAGGAATGGAATCGAAACGTGTGCTGAATTTGATTTTTGGTTATCCACAGTATCTGACTAAATTCTGGTTAGTTTCTACATTTTTATGTTTTTTGCAGATCAGAACTTTCAGGGAGTCTAGCTATTTGCTAGAAACCATTTATGCTAGGCACTTTCTCAATAGTTGATTTCTCTCTCTCATAGGCTACTAAATCCTGCTTAGTAGGATAGTCTTTGGCTGAGCAGCCTTAAATTTTAAAAAGATGTCAAAAACTGGTGGCCCATGTGCTAAATCCAGCCGGCTAGTGTTTTCTTTGGCCTGCATGGGGTTCTAAAACATGTAAGCTGCCTGGGCGCGGTGGTTCATGCCTGTAATCCCAGCACTTTGGGAGGCCGAGGTGGGCAGATCACGAGGTCAGGAGATCGAGACCTTCCTGACTAACACAGTGAAACCCTGTCTGTACTAAAAAATACGAGAAACTAGCCGGGTGTGGTGGCAGGCACCTGTAGTCTCAACTACTCTGGAGGATGAGGCAGGAGAATGGCATGAACCTGGGAGGCAGAGCTTGCAATGAGCAGAGATCCCACCATTGCACTCCAGCCTGGGTGACAGAGTCTCACAAAAACAAACAAACAAACAAACAAAAAAAACACACACACATGTAAACCATCTCAAAAATTGAGAATTTCATGTAAAAGCTAGATATTCTGTTTTCTGGAAATAGAGGACCCGCATTCCTAAAAGAAGGTAGGGCCCTCACTCCTAAAAGGAGGTAGGACCCTTGTTCTGTTAAGAATGGAGGGCCTTCATTCCTACCTTCTTTAGATGGGGCATGTGTCCTCCAGGTGCCCACAGTCCCATCACTCCCTATTCTATCCCCAGGGCTGAGGTTAAATATTAAATGCTTTCTATCATCATGTTGATGCTCTTGATTCTTTTTTTTTTTTTTTTTTTTTTTTTTGAGACAGAGTCTTATTCTGTCACCAGTCTGGAGTGCAGTGGTGTGATCTCAGCTCACTGCAACCTCCGACTCCCTGGTTCAAGCAATTCTCCTGCCTCAGCTTCCTGAGTAGCTGAGATTACAGGCACGTGCCACCACACCCAGCTAATTTTTGTAGTTTTAGTAGAGAAGGGTTTCAATATGTTGGCCAGGATGGTCTCGATCTCCTGGCCTCGAGATTCACCCGCCTCAGCCTCCCAAAGTTCTGGGATTACAGGCGTAAGCCACCATGCCCGGCCTCTTGGTTCTTTCATAAGTGGAAGGTTCATAATATTTCTTAAGCCTAACTCCCTCACTCATTGTGTTACCTGCCTTGAAGACGTTTGGGAATAAAGAGAAATAAATTTAGGCAGTGGATTTTCTAAAGAAAATCTTATTCAAAATTTTAAAGCTTTGGAAGGAGGAGACCTGCTCTGTTAAGGGACAAAGCTCTCTGTGTTACAATGTTGTCAGGGGGCTGATATGTGAGTGACTTCTCTGGCTTTGTCCTGGGAGGGGTATCGATCAACTCAAACATAATTATGCAGGATGGAGAATGCTGTGGGTTCTGCTAATGCGAAGTTTTCTTCCTGTTTCAATAAAGTTCGTAAGTCTCCTCTTGTTTTATAACAGGGAAACCGGTGGGGCTATTTTCATTTTCAAAAGTCGTAGGAAGAAATATCACCCACATGGTCTGGGAAGAGGAGTGAGAAGATTTTTGTACAGAAACCTTATAAATGGCCACCAACTGAAACAAGCTTCAAACTCTTTCTTCATTTTACTTAGGAGAGTGACAACTGCACCTACAGAAAGGACCCCAGCTGAGGTTTGGGGGTGGGGATGCTCTACAAACTTTGCACCCCTGGCCCATCAGTCCATGTCCACTGGCCCCACCTGGGAGACTGCTGGGATGGGAAGGTGAACGCTGACCCTTTCTGAGACTTCTTGTGTTTTGGCGTAGAGGGAGGTCCAGGAGTGAAAATCATATCTATTCTGAAAGAAACAAACAGAGTGGGGATTAAATTACACAGAGCTTTGTTTTGACAGTAAACCAAATCATTCTATTCTCTCTGGAATGAGATATGGGTTTGGAATACATAAGAGAAGAGAACAGGAGAGGAAGAGAGAGTGCATACTAGCCACAGAGAGAAAGAAAGAGTCAGAGAGAACCTATAACTTTGGTATATTCTTCTTCTTGTTTTTGATCTGGTGATACTGAAAGGATCTTTCTATCCCAGGGGAGAGGGAGGCAGACAAACCGCTGAGAGAGGTGAGGGCTGCATCTTGTTATATTTTTTTTTTTATAAGAAATGTCATAGGTGGGCTGCAAACCTGTCTTGTCTTCCAGTTCTTTTATCCCTTCCAAAAACATCTAGTTAGGGAGTTTTACAGACAAAGCCTAGGCTACATATTCAGCTGCACACGTGACTGCTGCTCTGTGGGCATCTCTGGCCAGTAGAAAGATAGATCCAACACCAGCTTCCACTCCTGCTTCTATTTCTGCATGAGGCACCAGCTTCTTTTTAAAAACCTTCTATTTTAGGTTTGGGGGTACAGGAAAAGGTTTGTTACATAGGTAAACATGTGTCATGGGAATTGTCTTTTCTGCTCCTCTCCCTCCTACCACCCTACCCCCTCAAGAAGACCCCAGAATCTGTTGTTTCTTTCTTTGTGTTCATAAGTTCTTATCATTTAGCTACCACCTATCAGTGAGAACATGCAGTATATGGTTTTCTGTTCCTGCATTAGTTTGCTAAGGATAATAACCTCCAGCTCCAACCATGTTCCTGCAAAAGATAGGATTTTGTTCTTTTTTAATGGCTGCATAGTATTCTGAGAGTCATCGGTTCCTTCTCTATGCCTGGACCAACAGGAAAGAAATGTTGCCTATCACGCTCTTGGTTGGGACAAGGGCTGGAGGGAAAGCAGGCTTGAAGGCTTATCACAGGTCCAGGACCATTAAGACCATGCACTCTGAAATAGCCATGGCTCCTTCTGTCTCCTCCCTGGAAACCCAGCTGCTCCTCCACTGATGGCACTTCCTTTCTCTCTTGCCCTGTAAGGTCAGCACGACTGGAGATATGCAATCAGAGATCCAGATGTTCACCCTCCAGCCACAAACGCTAGAAACACATTTGCTTAATAAGTAGCAAAAACTATGACACTGTCATAGTCCACTCTGTTTATTTAAATTGACTGGTAGTTTTGGAGTGTGGCAGGCCCTAGACATCATGCTTCATCCTTGTCTCTCAGAGAGCCATAGTTGCATAAATAACAGCATGTTAGGCTCAGAATTTGTTCACACATCTATTCATTCAGCAGGTAGTGAGCACTGACTCTGTGCCTGCCACTATACTAGGAAGCCCAGCCTGGCCAGCACTGTGAAACCCCATATCTACTAAAAATAAAAAATCAGGGGGTGTGGTGCCATGCGCCTCTAGTCCCAGCTACTCAGGAGGCTGAGTCAGGAGAATCTCTTGAACCTGGGAGACAGAGGTTGGAGTGAGCCGAGATCATGCCACTGCACTCCAGCCTGGGTGACAGAGTGAGACTCCATCTCAAAAAAAAAAAAAAAAAAAAAAAAAGGCCATGGAGAAGCACACCTCCAAAGTGACAGCATCATTAACTTCCAACCCAGTCAGTGTGACGTTCCTGTTCTCTAGCAGGACACTCCAGTGGGACAACATCACTCGGACGGGGAAGCTGAGGCCCAGAGAGGACGCGTGTCCATTGGAAATATCACACAGTCAGAGAGTGAACTGCAATAGGAGTTTGGTTTCCTGACTGTTATTCCATGACTCTTGACATCACAACTGCCCGTTTTTAAAAAATGTGCAGTTTTACAACTTATTAAAGATTTGATACACTTTAAAAGTAGAAAAAAAAAAGTCACATATGGAGTCATCATCTCATTACAGCTACTGCAATCTCTCAGGGGAAGTCCTACTCCTTTTCTCCAGGCCGCAATATGGGAAAGCGTGTGCATGTCCTGTGTATTTCTGAATAAGCATATGTGTGCATGTGTTTAGAATCATACCTATATATTAGTAAACATCATCACAAGGTCTAGGCAGAGTCTATTTATTCTGTGACATATTATATATGATATATAAACATACATATGTAGCTATAAATATATACATATGCACATATATGTGTACACACATGTCCGCATGTATTACTGGTAATTATATCATGCATATATATCCACAAATCAAATAATTAAAAAATCTTATTATATACTTTTTCTAAATATTATTTTATGGTTGCATAACTTTTTTTTTTTTTTGAGATGCAGTCTCACTCTGTCGCCCAGGCTGGAGTGCAGTGGCGCAATCTTGGCTCACTGCAACCTCTGCCTCCCAGGTTCAAGCGATTCTTCTGCCTCAGCCTCCCAAGTAGCTGAGATTACAGGCATGCTCCACCATGCCTGGATTCTTTTTGTAGTTTTAGTAGAGAGGGGGTTTCCCCATGTTGGTCAGAATGGTCTGGAACTCTTGACTTCAACGGATTCACCTGCCTCAGCCTCCCAAAGTGCTGGGATTATAGGCATGAGCCACTGCACCCAATCAATGGCTGCGTAACATTTTAATGAGAGCAGGTACCATTCTTTCCTTACCCATTGTTTTATAATTAAGGAAATATGGTGCGTTAGAATAGAGACTTTCTAATCAGTTGGAGCTAGTTTGATTCCCAGCTCTGCTCCCTGCTAGCTGGATAGGTCCTCTGTCCTATCAGCTTCAGTTTCCACATTGGAAAAATGGCACTCTAATGCAATGCCTTGTGTTTTCATAAGGGAGTATAAACATGCTGGTGGAGTACTGAGGAGTTCCATAAAAATGATGGCAATTATTAGTTAGGCATTGATGCTGTTTCCTTAGTTTTCACTATTTTAAGTAATACTCAATGAACATTTTTTAACATGGTAAAGAATTATATTTAGAATTAGGCAGCCGAATTCGGTTTAGATGATCCCGTTTTGTTGGCAACACTGAAAACATCACAGTCAGAAGCCATTTAAACGTGTGTCTTCTCCTCTCTGACAGGCCTGATCAGGGTGCTGACCTTGGCCATGGCAATGTCATACAGGTTTTTCACAGTCTGTCCAATCTGGTGCTTTGTTGGCCTGGACATCCACAAGGCTTCGTGGATATTTTTCTTCTTAAAATCTCTCCCTGCATTTTGAATTATTTCTGAATACCTCTCACCTTAAACTCTAAGGGTCATATGGCTTTGAAGGGAGCACAGTCCCTCCAGATGTGACTGTCTCACCTCGTCTGAAGGTACTTTATCCTGGAAAGCATGTCGAGATGCCCGGCAGAATACTGCTCAATCACATCCTTCACGTCGTAAGGCCTCAAAGTCTCCTTGAATTTTTTTTTATAGAGACGGAATTGTAGAATTCTGCAAGGCAAAGTAGAGGCATTTGTGCGTCACAGGTGGAGAGTGCAGGGAACTATACCACAAGGCTAGCAAAATCCAAGGCAGGGGGAGAAAAGAACCAAAGAGAAAACAGCTTGCTGGAAGAGCTTCCAATGTTTGGTCCTGATTCTACCCCTTGGAACACACAGAGTTAGTACATCTCCATCAGGATTATTCCCTTCAATCATTTGAAGAATAAGCAAATCATGGCATTAATAAGAGCTAACATTTATTGAGCATTCATTGTATGCCAGACCATGAGCTTAATGCTTTACGAACAATCCTGATAACAGATCCATTTATAGGAGATGTGATTGTGATTCAGAGCTTCAGCATCATCCCAGGGCCATACAGCTGAGAAGGCTGAGCTGGTCCTCAAACCCAGATGGGGTGCTGACGAGGCTGGTGCTCTGAATCACTGTCTCATTGCTTTCTATTTGAGCACAGCGGATGTATCTCATCCTCAAGAGCCTCTTGAATTATTTTGCTTGGGAGCTCCTAGAACAGAAAAGCTGGTTTCTGTTCCCTGAGTTTTCTCAGGTTCCTTATAAAGTGGGGCGCCCAGAACTGGTAGATGAAATCAAAGCCTCACTTCCATCCTTTACTGGCTCCTCCCTGGAAAGCAATCAAGTCACCCCTGATGGGTAGTGTTCCTTGGGAGCCACATCGTGAAGTTAACTCCTGCTGATCACAGAGTTTATTCAAACTCCTAATCACAGGTCAGTGTCAGGAGGTCACAGCCCTTCCCAGGCCCTTCTATCTGGTGCTTGCACAAGTCATTTTAACGGTGCATTCAAAGTTCATTTTGTTTGCCATAGCTCATGGCTTTAGCCTGTAAACATTATTTTTGGTATATTGATTATGGTACTACCTAATTTGCTTGCCATCCTTCCCATCTTTGTGCCATTTTATAAGCCTTCTCTTTACATAGTTCCATACAGGTGAGAATCTATAAACTAAGGCTCACAGGTCAACCCTGGCTCACTGCCTGATTTTGATAGTAAGGTTTGACTGGAACTCAGCCACACCCACTCCTTTATGCACTGTCTATGGCTGCTTTTGTGCTACAATGACAGAGCTGAACACTCGTAGCAGAGACCTATGGACCATGAAGCCTAAAACATTTACTATCTGACCCTTTCCAGAAAAGTCTGATGACCTCTGAATGAAGACATCAGTGAAAATGCTAAAAGAAGAGAAGAAGAGGGCACAGACCAGACTATGCAGTGTCCCAGCAGAGATCGCCCTCCAGGTCAACACAGGTTCATTAACTGGCTTTCTCTGAATAAAGGCTTTCAGCCAGTGAGGAATCCAGATAGCTGTGTTTTCATACAACCACATTTCTGTCATATCCTACATAAAGGTGTCAGGAAAATCCACGTCCAAGGCTTTGCTGAGGTCTACACATTGTAACACTACTGTGCTTCCCTATCTATTGGAATGAGAATCTTGCTGAAAAGACCATGATGAGTTGGAGAATTCACCTTAGTTTCTAGAATTCACTGCTACCTTTATGAGGTGCTTACATGCTGATAAAGTTTAAGTAGTAGCATGCTTTTTTCATTTTCTTGCAGAATTTTAAAGCAAAACAGAAATAGCTAGAATGGATCATGGTCTCTGCTGATACAGACAAAAAATCTATAATTTATTATCTTGTTAAAAATGCGAACTAATTAAAAAGAACTATATGGATGAAGTTAGGCAGAAGAAAAAACATTTTGAGCAAGAAGCCTCTACAGGAAGAAAACCCTCCACCCTGACGCCCTTTAAAATACATGGTGGTTACAGCCAGAGCAGAACAGAGGAGGTGGAAATACTGTCGGGAGGGCTGTGGGGTGTGCTTATAACAAGGCAGGCACCCAAGAGTCAGCCAACATGACTCGCTCATGTCCGGATCATTTTTCCTGGGGCAGCATACAGTACTTACTTACTTCTGGGACCTGACTCAGGGTTAGTGGAGGGGCTCCTTTTCCCCCTTCCCAAAGTGCAAGAGAATTTTATAAGCCCCATCCTGTAGGAGTTAAGCTGGAGCTGGGGAGGCACACAGGCACTGGTGGGGCCGAGGGGGCATTACCTGACAGCTCGGATGGCGGCCTTCAGGGTAGGGATCATGTCTTCAATGGGGAAGTCATTCCCATAGCCCCTGTCTTCTGCTGTGGGGTCGCCTGTCCCGGCATCTGGGAGGAAGACACGCATATCAACGGCAGGCCACAGCCCTGGAAAAGGCTTGGGGACCCCATTGTTTGGTCAAAGCCTTCCACGCCTCTGGATATGTCGATCCCCAGAGTCTTTGTTTCCACGTTGTGAGACCCCACAGTACTCTCAAGCTGTGATGCTGCTCAGCCTTTCTTGGCACCCTCATTCTATTATCCAGAAGTCCAAGTCAAAAGTGTGTGCAGCTCATGACTGGTGGTGGAGGACAGGCTAGCAGGGAGGAGAAGTGAGCTCTGCAGTGCCAGAGTGGCCCCCAGAGCCAGAAGCCAGCAAGGGACACAGAAGCCAGCAAAGGACACACACTGTGCAGACCTTGGAGCCAGACAGGCCTCAGCTGGGACTTTTGCTCTGTCAGTCTCTATCCTGGTGACCTTGGGGAGGTCACTTTCTGAGCCACACACACCTCAGAGGTCTTGGAGAGAACTGAATGATGCGATGAGGACTGAGGGCCTGGGTGGGCTCAGACACTGAGGACACAGGCTTTTCTGCCTGTCCTCCCTTTGCATAAGTAAAAGAGGCACATGAGGCCATGGCTCCTACAGCCTCCAGAGGGCGCTTTTCTGCCACCTCTTCCCATGCCCTGGTCTCTAGATCGCTTGGCACATGGCACCACCCCATCCTTCAAGTTGACCTCCATAACAATTCAATCATGGGGTGGGGTGGGTGGGGGACACCCTTAGAAACTAAGGAGACAGGCTTCCAGGCTCCTAACTTGGGAGCCTCCAGCCCTAGATTCCTGGGAATACATCACAATGCCTCCGCCCAAGGGACAGGAGGAGTAAGGGAAGCAAGAAGATGGCTTGGCGAGGGAAGGGAGAGAGTTACCTTGTGGACTCGAAGGTTCTTAAGTGGGGAGAGGGAGAGATTTACCTTGTGGACTCGAAGGTTCTTAAGTGGGGAGAGGGAGAGGTGAGGAAGGAAGTGGGCTTAGGGGAGGGAGAAGTGGAGGAGACAGGGAGGGACATAAAAAGGCATTCATTACCTTCAGAACTCTGCCAGAAAGCGTAGGCTTTCATGCGGAAGGCCGTGCGGAAACGCTCTTTATTGTTTAAGCCAACAGGCTTTGGTTCTTTAGAAGGACTTTCTTCTATGGCATCTACATTCAGAGGGGTAAATAGCTTTCCTTTAGTATTGCTACCACGAGGATTAGAAAGGCGAACCCGATCCAAGAGACCCAGCTTTTGGCTACAAAATAAGCAAAAGTGAACAATTTTCCTCCTTCAGTGCAGGCTCTTACAATTTCCCATCCCTCCATAAAGACTCACACATGCTCCTCCAAGGAGGAATGGGGACTGTGCATTTCACAGTGCTGAATCTGACTCAGCAGCTTGGAACTGGACAGGGCATGGTTCAGATCCTAGCTCCACAGCTTGCTAGCTCTTACACCCTGGGCGAGTTTTGTTTTAACTTCTCTGAATGTCAATTTTCTCATATGCTTAAATGCCGCTTACATGAGATGCAGGGTGTAAATTGCCAACTCATCCTAGTATGCTGCAGAGATTCGTCTTTCCCCATGCCCATTTCCTGCATCAATAACTTCCTGCCTCTCCTGTGTATCATCGCATGGTGCCCGGATAGTGATTTACACAGACAAACCCTTATGAAAGGGTTCCTCCTTGAAAAGAACCTGACAACACAAATGACATAAAGCAGCAGTCTTAATTTGGTGTCCACAAACAGACTCTTATGGATAGAATTTGGCAGTCCATGAGTTTGGATGGGGAAAAATACATTTTTAATTTATAACTTCTAACTAAAATTTAGCATCTCTTTCCATTATGAATGTGGGCAACAAACTCCAGTAATATCCTAAATGCCTGTGACTGTCCACAACAAAAATCACAGATAATTTTATATCCTGTTATTTCAAGGTATTGTTTATGCTCATGATGGCTTCAAGATTATGGTGGTATTCAATCTGCCACCAGGTTCATCACAAAGATGCACATATATGACTACATCTCAAAATTTTAAAGATTTTGATAATGCTGTATCCATGTAATCAGCTTCTTTTCTAAGTGTATATTGTATTTTGTTTATAGATTCAAAATTATTCTGAAAAGGGGTCCATGGCCTTCACGATACTGCTAGAAGAGTTCCTGGTACAAAGAAAATGGTTAATAATGCCAATATAAAATTGCCCTGGTGCAAAAAGCCAGCTGCACCTTGACTTAAGCCCAAGTCCACCCTTCCCATCGGGCTGACCTTGGGTAGATCTATGACCTTTTTGAGCCTCAGTTACCTCATCGGTAAAGTAGGGATAAGCATTCTCTGCTTTATCTGGTTGCTATGAGATGATGTTTGTCCAGTATTTGGCATAGAGTGTCACACACGGCGGGTGCTCTATACATGTTAATTTCTTCCATTTCTCGGCTCTTGCCCCCTTACCCTAGTGAGCACAAAGGATAAAGCCTTTTTTGTGGTACTTTCCAGAGAGCGCCACATTGCGTGTTTTCACCCAGTGGTATACTCAATGCAACAGCTTCTGCTCCCTTACCCCACACAGAGCTTGGCACACAGGAGGCACTCACTCATGTACTTGTGAAATAAATGAGAGAGTGAATGAATATGGGTGATCCAATCAGTTCTGCATGGGTTTGCGATAATTTTGTGTTTTCTAAAGAGCATGTCTGGTTAGGATAGTCACGTGCCCCTGCCAGAAGCTGCTGCTACCTTTGAAGCTGGGTACAGTGTGGAGGTCATGGTGTTGTGGCTGCTGGAAGAGGAGTGAACACTCCTCCTGCCACACAGTCACCCTGTGCTTTCTGAACACCAGGCCCTCGTCTGTCATGGGGGCCTAACAACAGCTGCTTCCTAGAGGGTTAGGGAGTATTACACGTGATAATTTATGTAACATTTCTTGCCTACAGTCCGGCATACAGAAGGCATTAAGAAATCTTTGAAAAAACAAACCAGTGAATGAATGAATGAGTATATGAATGAGCAGTGAGCAGTTGTTATTCCTGACTTCCTCTGGATCTGTTCTCTCTTACCCAGCACTGTTCCAGAAGTTTGATTGAGGAACTCCATTAATAACCAGCCCAGGATAAATTTAGAAAAACGCCAATGCTCAGCCAGCTCCATCTTCCTTGAACTGAAGTCAACATTTTTTGGAATTGCTTTCCTGGCTGCTACTAGATAAATGACTAATAGGACAGAGAATATATCAGAACTCGTGGGCTAAAAATAGTGAATGAAGCAGGAACTGAGCTGAACACACATTGAAGTCTTTCTGGCACTGCACTGTATGGAGACAGTACATTTCCATGCCTGCCTGCTCCACTGAACTATGTAGTGCTAGCTAGGCAAAGACTCTGCCTGGCTATCTTTGAACACGGCACATTTCCCTGCTCAGAACATCCGAATATTCAGTACAGCAACTAAGATCACGGGCAAAACCAGCCTGGTGGAAGCATCCTGACAAACCGTGTGACCTAGGACACATCACTTATGCTTTCTGGTCTCCAGCTTCCTCATGGGCAAAATGATGACCATAAGCCCATGCTTTTCATAGATGTTTAAGGGTTAAATGAGGTAATGCATGTCCAGTGCTCAGCCAACTGAGATTCAGGAAGCACTCAATAGATGCTGGCTGTCATTATTAACTCGGTAAGTAATCCTTTTCCCACAGAGGCAGTAGAAGGCTGACGATGTGTGTGAAAAGGATGGATACAATTCCCTGGGCCATAAATAAAGGTTTTGTTGTTGTTGTTGTTTAAATGAACTGTAATGAGTTTGAGAGATTTATATATTATTTTACAGTACTTCTTAATGCTAGTCTAAAAAGTTCAACATTGTCATTGCACTCTACTTCCGTAGGAGACAAGTATATGGGGAGCTTAATTCCAGATAAACTAAGCAAGACAAAATTAATAGCAGCCACTTTTTCCTGAATTGAAGTTTCAGTATAATTGTTGAATATAAGGAAGATAATCAGAGGATTTTCTTGGTTCTCCCTGTGCTGGGATTTAGGATTTGCTTGTTAGGCATTTAAATGCTTCACTGCAACCTCAAACAGTCTGGATTGCTTTGGCCACGTTCACTTAAAACCCCATTGGTCACAGATGACAGTTCAGATGGTGTTAGGAATCCAGATGCATTGAACAAAGTCAGAAGTCTCGGCTCAGAATCACTCACAGCCATTGCACCTAAGAGGCTTATGGAATTCTTCCTCCAGCAAAGTGGATGATCAGCTTACTTCTTAATTGTGTTGCCTGAAATCCAAGACCCCAAAGGATAATCAAATGCAAGGCAAAGTTCACTGCTGAAACTCAAAACCCATCTCTGCTCTACATTGTATGGATTTCCAGTACATAATTAACGTGTTGTTCTAGGAGGGCACTGAAGATCTTGCAAGAAAAGCCTTCCCCAGAGCTGACATCAGATTTTCTTCAAAAGCTAGGGCTCTTGACATGATAAGTGCAGGCAAACAACTTCCAAATACAAATTGTACAAACTGCAAATAGATAGACTGGGCATGGCAAAGTAAAATCAAGGTTGTTCTACCCTGGACAATGCGGCTCTTGTCCTGGGCTCCTCCTTCAGGTATCAGCACAGGGAAATTCAGCCATGTTCAACTCCGTGTAGTTTCTTCGCATTCTGTGTTTTGCATGTGCTGTGAACTCGACCTGGGAAAACCTTCATCCCCTTTTTTCATCTAAATGACTCTTATTTCTATCTAAAACATGGTCCAAGCCTCAGCCCCACATCTGGACTTTCAATGTAGCGGCTACTGGCTTCTATAAGTGGGATTGGCTGTTCTGTGCTGGGCACTCAGTCTGGCTACCGGGATCCATTAGACATCCATTCTCTGTGCCCCTAGTCCACTTCAGGCTTTTCTCATCCATGGCACTCAGCCACTGCAGGGAAATATTTGACTTAATAGGGACTCCCCTACTAAATCAGTGGTTCTCAACTGGGGGTGATTTTGATCCCCCTGCCAGGGCACATTTGGCCATGCCTGGAGACACTTGGTGATATAATAATGAGAAGTACTATTGCCATCTAGTGGTGAGAAGCCACAGATGCTGTTAAACATCCTGCAATGCACAGGAAATTCCCAACAAAGAATTATCTGTAGCAAATATCAATAGTGCTGAGGTTGAAAAACTGAAAGGTAAGCTTTTGGGCCAGAAACTACCATGTTCAACTTGTATATACAGGGTCTAGCACAGTGTCTGGCATGTTGCCCGCACTAAAAGTATTATTACAATGTTGAATGAATGAAGGATGTAATAAAACATTCAATCTTCTGATTAACAAAATGCATCTAACCTCAGCTGAGAGAAAGACTGCTGTATAATGGAAAGAGAGTGGACTGCTGTATAGTGGAAAGAGAAGGACTGCTGCATAGTGGACTTTAGAGTAAGAGAACTGAGTTCAAATCTCTGCTTGTGATTTATATTTCACTTAGGAAAGTCATTAACTCAGATTCAATTTCATCTATAAAACGAAGCTAATATTTATTCATTCAACAAAAATGTGTTCCACACTTTGTAAATCCCAGGCTCAAGGTGACTTGTTGAACATACATTGGTGATTAAAACCAATGTGGTTTTCAGTCTCTTGTGAGCTTATGATAAAGTCAAGAAGTCATACAATAAGTAAACAGACACATTCATTGCTAGAAATCTGACAAGGAGACCAAGAGAATGCAGTAATGAAGAACAACACGAGGCTGACAGGTAGGGTGGCTCGGGAAGGCATCTTGAGTGGATGGGAAGATGAATTAGGAAACTAATTTCAGGATTATTAATCAAGGATTAAGATGATGGTGGTCCAGACACAGAAGCTGAGATCTGAAGGGTCAGAAGCTGGATTTCAAAGAAAGGAGGCAAGAACTCTCTAGGCAGAAGAACTGCATGTGGGTGCAAGGGGCATGAGGACTGGACTGTGGCACCAAAGGGAGGGCATGTGGCCAAAATATTCTGAGAGGCAGAGTGGCACCAGATGAGATCAGAGTTCAGATAAGTCAGAGACTTAAGAAACAAAATAAAATTTAAACAGAAATAGAAAATAGGAGTTTCCTTTGTGTTCTAAATGTACCTGGGGTCCACAAAGATGTTTGAGGATAAAGTATATGAAGTTTGCATTTTAAAAAACGCATACCTGTCCATTGCAGCGTTATTCACAACAGTCAAAAGGTGGAAGCAACCCAAATGTTGTCCATCAGTGGATAAGTAGAT